AATTGTTTTTTGCATAATATTTATGACTTATTTGTCCGGGTAGATCAAATCTTAAAAAATTATAAATTTATACTCAAATACGGGGTAAAAATAATAAAGCGACAGAAATCATGTCTCATTATGAGCAGGATATAGAATGAATTGTTTTCGACAATTTATCACGTTTATAACTAATAAATTTTTAACCGATTATTCCTTTCATTATCCAAACCCATATATAACCAGCACTTTGAAATATTTGAAAATAAAACGACCTAATACATATCTGATTTGTGATTACAAATAGACATTTAATACACCCTTACGATTATGCCGTTCACAACTATATACGGGGTAATAAGTAATAACAATTATTAGATTAATGGTTAGTGAAAACAATTTGAAAGTCTATGGGTAACAAAATTGTAAAATTGATGTCAGAAACGGAGTCTAATGTGTCGGCCGTACGGTATTTGTGGGCGAGTTTTATCGGGTGATCGCGTGTTAACTGCAAGAGTCGGACCAAAAATAAAAACAAAGTATTTGTGACCATCGCTTCGCCCAAACATACACGACGTCCGGCGCCAAAGGGCATGAATGGCGTGGATCTCGGTTTGACAAACTGCCCATTGTTTTGAAAGCGACCAGGGTCAAACTGATTGGCGTGTGACCAATGATGATCATCGAGCAACATGTTGTACGAGTGTTGCAATACTATTGTTTTGTTGGCAATTGCATATTTACCAGCTATGCATGTAATACACAATTAATTATATTAATAATAATAATAGAGTAGGAATATTTGGACCTAGATCTTATACAACTATTATATAATTATAATAATACCGATTGTTGTGTCGCATAGAGTGACGCGCGGAAAGCCGACGGGAGCGGCGGTGCGATAGCGTAGGGTCTCAGCGATGAACGCCTGCACGCAATGCATGCGCCGCCTGTCAGCCAATGTGACCACTCTATCGGCCAACACGTGATCCATCTCTGCCCTCATCTTTCTCTGCCAGACCTCAAAATAAGCCACAAATAATACCATCCATTGAAGTGTGGCGTATGTCGTCTCTGTGCCGGCTGTTAATGTTTAAAAACGATTGATCATGATAAATTAATTTAAGTTTAATGTGATGTATCAATGTGCTATAAACAAAACTGCACAGAACTGTCTATGCGTGTGTTATTATTTAGAATTGAATTTTTAAATAAGAATTTTGATTCAAAATAATATAGTTTTAATTAATTGATATAAAAAACAATTGAATTGTTTACCAAAAATCAAGTCAATAACTGTGGCGACAATGTTCTGGTCAGTCAACCACTGGACAACTCCGGGCCGACACTCGGCCGCTGCCTTACGCTGAGCGCCGATAAACGGATCGCAAAAATCGCGACAAACGCTCTCATCGTAAGTGTTTTTGTGTGCTTTCAATACGTCTAACGTATAGTCAAAGCATTGGTTATAATTGTGGCGATATTTCATCAAAGGGTCGGACATTAAAAACCGAATGTAAAGTATAAATTCGTAGACAATATGAGTGCCACCCATTTCATGGGAATAAGCAGTGGCCAAATATTTGAACCTGCTCAAATCATCTGGTTCCAGTCTGGTAAATAATAAGTTATACATTTTATATAATTATTTTATTTTTATGAAATAATACGTTTGATTAAAAGTAGTCAACGAAATAATGTTTAAAATCATATCAAAGAGATAGGCTTTTGGTATAAACGGCCGATCAATGCCTTCTTTGGCCACCATTTGTGAAGTGATGTCCGAAACGATTGCATTCACAATACGCGTGAAATTCATTGTTTTTGTGTGTTTACTGTATTATTAAAATTAAAACGTTTTTTCCAACTAAAGTAATTTTACTCAATATTATTCATGGAAAGTATCTAAAAATGTAAAATAAAATGTATATATTTTAATTATTCCTTAGGGCAATTACTTGATAAACTGATGCTAAGTATTGATGTTTGATTATAAAGGATTTTAACCCTCTAAGCGTCTGCAAACATTATGAACGTTGCGATTATCATGGGATTTGAATCTCCCATCACTAGAGTGTGCATATTGGGAGTTTAAACTCCCATATATGCTGTTCTGTGTACAGTGGGTGATAAATATCCCAGCAGTGAGTATGTTTGTTGAGTCAGTGTATTAGGTGTTGTTGTTGCATATGATTGCGTTTTATAAAATAAACATTCAATTGTTTCATTTATTCCCCCGCTATTAAAACATTATTTTATAAACTAAACTAATTTGCTATTATAATTAAATTTATATTATTGTATCAACTTATTTTATAATTTTATCGATAATTATTATAATATTGAAATTACACAAATAAAATAAATGCATAATCTGTTACTTATTTTGCATGTAGCGTATACTGTACTAATGTACATTATATACTATATACAATGTTTTTATACAATATATTTGCTGTTTAACCTAGCTACTATATTAAATCTTTTATAATTTTTTTTTATTTGTGATAGTTACATTATTACAAAATATAAGTTTTAATTATATTGTATTTTTATTAAGAAAAAATATCTGTAATGATCAAATTGAGTAACTTGTATTAAGCCAATACCAATCATGTTTGACAGGACATTAAAAGTCATGCGTGAAATCATGTGAGTGTAGTTTTGTTTACAAATGGTAAACTTACTACCTATCGTGCACAGTGGAAGATTTGTTTCCCAGCTCACAGCGTCATGCGCGAGCACAACATCTACAATGATTAGCACTGTTTATACTACAGTATTAAAACTTACGTTACGCGTCGTATGGGATAATAAATACCCAATCGTTAATTAAAATACGATAATTTAATTTTAAAAATCTATAAATTTATATGTTTATAAGTAATAATGTTTCCGAGGCATAGCTGAGTTTGTTTCATGATAGCGCAAACCGCTGATTTTTAATTGATTTTTAAAGTTGCTCTGGGATTCTAAACTCCCAAAACACGCGTATAGGGTTAATTAAAATGCTTACTTATAATTAATTTACAGTATTTGTACAGATTTTAACTTTCAATTTGATTAATAAGTTTATAAATTTCTAAAATTACATTAATCAAATTCTTGATTACTGTAAGACAGTTTTCTACATGTGTGATTAAATTGAGATTAGTCATCAAATAGTGGTTCAAATTGTAATTTAACTTTTAAAATCAAAAAAGCCTCAATTGATTACACCATGTATTGAAAACTAATTAAGCATTAAATCATATGATGTGAGACATACGGAAAGGATACTAATTATTGTGATTTGTATTACAATTTATAGAATTATAAAAACAAAATAAACTAAATTAGATCAACTTATGAACAAATTAAGCGTTATAATTGCCCAGTTTAATTACATGATAATTCTGCTACAGTTTATGTTACAATTAATACTGGTGGAGTGATAAGGAGTATCACTCATTATTAGTTATTTAATAATACTTTATAAATACTTTCAAATGTTACTAATTATTATAAATATTCCTATAATGTGTGCAATGATCTGTATTTCAATATTAATGTAAAGACTTTACTGTATTATAACTTTCTATAGGAGTGACTGTATTCATACCTTTCATAGGATTGTGAATATAATTACTTCAGTTGTTAATTAGGGACTCAAGTGAGAGGTTGTGCTCTGATAGCCCTCTCGTTATTGTATTTCTATAAGACTTTCAATTGTATTGTAATTAATACTTCCATTAAATTAAACGCTTTTATATATTTTAAATTGAAGTAAATTTATTGACGTTTAAGGAAGAGTTCGCTGAGAGTGCGAAATAAGAGGTATAATAGTCTTTAGTCTCCGGTGGTGTAAATTAAAGGGCGTTTAGGATTAGCCTAAGCCTCGCCCCCGACTCAGGTATACCTAAACACTCCAAAATTAATTTCATTTCTTCAGTATTTATAGCAATAAACTCTTGTTTAATAATGGCCATATATGCTTGCTCATTGCTCATCACATATGCCGACACAGTGTATCAAGAGTTGATCAAAACTACTACATTTACAACTCAATCTAGAAATATTTATTCCTGTATTTTTCAATGTCCAGGAATTACTCCTTACTGTATTCTGCAGATAATTAACTACATCTAACTACTATACTATTTAAGATTTAAATTAATAAAAATGACACATTAAATGGGAGTAGTGATCTATGTAGGATTGCTAGAGAGTCAGTGAAATCGCATTTCACTCATCAAACAAAAAACATTTAAGGTAAACATGTCATCACACACAACTGCCGGGTGAGTGATTGTAAACATTGCCAACTGGATAGTTGCAATAGGTCAGAAATGCCGTATAGATCTCTACCCGGCTACGAGCATTTATTACGCAGACGGATAGAGGTCTATCCGGCATTCC